TTTTACGCGAGAAAAAAACAAAGTGCTAGCAGAAAGCGTCTTTACGTGCAGAAAAAAAACTTCAAATTATATGTGGCAACGCGTTCAAAACGGAGCAGTCACAAATGCCGTCCTTCGTTGTTGCCGCCCTTGGCGATCGCCTAGTTCGCTTATGGTTGCGTCCGCTCTGGAGTTAGCGAAGAACAACAAGGCTTCCGACGAAACCATTCGTGAAACTTGGACAACATCTTTACTGTAAGACAATTGGTTGAAAATTCCTTGGATTACGATAAGCCTTATTCCTGCTCTCGTCTAAATTGTCTAAAACAAGCATTCGACAAAATGAGGCTCCAAGACGTGACAAGAATCATCCATCAGCACAATGTTCACCCGAAATACATAGAGCTGATCAGACAACTAAACACTAACAACAAGATCAGAATTAAAATAGCAAATGCACTAATTGTAAGAGCAGAGGTGCCGGTGGCAGTGCGAATCCGACAAAGAGACAGTCTCATCCAATCCTCTTTAATTTGTAATGAAGGATATAATACGGTAATTGAGGGAAGTAGACGGAGGATTCAAAATGGATTAAAAAAAACTGGAAAAATAATATGTTATGCTGATGATGCCATTCTAATTGCCCAAAGCAAAGACGAACTGCAACGTCTGCTGTACAGGCTCACCAGGACTTAAAAGGAGTTCATAGTATGGAAATCTTGGTTGAGAAAACTAAATCCACAGTGATATTTAAAGAACCCGATGTAAGTTATTCGATGTAAGTTATTAATTTACGACAGAATTAAACAACTCATGTGTTAAGTATCTCGGAACAGAGACTACAAGTAGTAGAAACCTTTCAAATGAAGTGCGCACTCAAGTCAACAACGCCTCGCGAATATCCGGTTATCTAAAGAACGCGATATGAAATAACAAGTACATGTCGATTAACAGCAAAACTAAAACGTGCACACCAATATTGATTTCTACGCTGCTGAATCCACAACCGAAATGGCGATAACGAAAAGACCAGCACGAACAAAGAAAATGAAGGCATTCAAAAGCATCAAAGGAGTAACACCAGAAGAAAGAATGAGAAGTCAAGATATACGAGAGGAATATTCAGAACGTGGTGAAATTCATGAAAGCGAGGAGACTCTTTGAAGAGATCGTGTGGACAGGATGGGGCCCGACCGATTGGTAAAATGGGCAAGATCGGAAATCCCTACTTTCAAACGACCGCCCGGAAGATCACCCAGAAGATGGCACGAGAGCTGGATCTCTGCCTCGCAGGAAGGTCAAGAGAGTAGAAGTAACAAAACACAGTCGTAATAGAAGAGGAAAAAGTTGGAAAAGAAAAAAAATCTTAGTTATTAATAAGATAGGTAAAGAAAACAATATAATTTTCTTACAAAATTTTAAATTTATAAATTTTTTGATAAAGCAACATTAGATACATAATGTCCTTCCGAAATAATTATGTACTGAGAAAACCAAGTTTAAAATATATTCTCAATTTTCATTATATAAATCTGATCTTTCCGAAAAGTTTAGCTATGTATTCAAAATACAACGATAATTTATTAATTTAAAAATATTTTAGATTTATTTCAAGATAGCCGCACCGTTTAATGTCTTTGGTTTTAGAATTAGCAATTTTTAATATATGTATAATTAATTATATTATTTAAAAAGCATTTTAGCATAATCGTGTTGACTAATATCAAAAGTAAGTAGAAGAAAACAAAAATACTCGAATACTAGAATTAGATACTATGTGCATACTGAGACTATAAACTTACACACAATCATTAATTCTTTGATAATGATTAAAACGAATTATATTTTATTAAAATCATACATACTTCACTTTCAAATGGTACAAGAGTACGAATTCGCACCGTGAAAATTTTCGAATTGCTGACATTTGTACAGAGATATCCGTCGCGACTATTTGCCAGCTATAGTCGCGGCACCAGTGTTCCATTAGTGGGTGCTCGAAAGAAGTGTACCATTTGAAAGTTAAAAAACAGTATTATTAATAATTTATTATTACAAAATATTATATTTTAAAAATAATATTTATTTTTTATAATAATATAATAAAACATTCTTAAGATTATAAGAGAGTTAACTCTCTTATATATTTCAGTAAACATAAATTTCCATAATGAATTTATTAAGAAATTTTTTTGTGAATATAATTTATACAATATATGTAGTTGTTTAAAAATATAATATAGAATTTTAATAATGTGACAAAACATTTAACATAATTGTGGATTATAACTTGATTATTAATGTAATTATATAATGTAATTTAATCTTATAGAATATCAAATATTGTAAAACATTCTAAAGTCAATAAAATGCAAAATACGGAACTGTATTAAAAAATAAACCGCCTATGATTTATAATAATCCGAATTAAAGACGCAAAAATATAACTTTGTAGCAGTCTGTCGAAACGATGTTTTCTTCCAACAAGTAACGTAAATAATTACATACACTTCCGATATTTTTTATCGCACGAGTGCGGTTTAAAGTATACTTAAATATTTTTCAAAAGTCAAGAATAGCTCAACGATTACGTTGTACGACTTGCATAATCAATTTGTCCCTCAAAAAAAATAAGTTCTAAAAGTTCAATTTTTTATACGTAAGTTTTAAGTTTAAAAGTAAAAACCGAGAATCCACAGTAATAGATAAAAACTATTTATATAAATTATAAAATTATCTATCGGTATTAATATTAATAATAAAATGTTTTTTGTTTCATTAATTGTTTCATAATTTCGTTATTTCAAAGATAAATTCACGTGAACTGACTATTTCTATAAAAGTATTATTATCATACTATTATAAGATAAAATTCAATATTTTCACTATTTTCATTATAGTGGCTTGTGAAGAAAAATGTAGTCGTATCAGTGACTTCGTAAGTATTTATCTTATGAAAGCAGTTTACCTATGTATTCAATACAACTACAATAATTTTTAATTTAGAATTACTTTAGATCTATTTTAAGATAACAAAAAAATGCTTTATTACGTACATATTGAAACTATACTTACATACAATCATTAATTTTTTGATAATAATGATTAAACGAATTATATTTAATTAGAATCACAAAAATTAAAGAATCGGTATTATTAAAAATTTATTATTTCAAATTATTGTAAGAACATTAAAAATAATAAATTTCATTTATTATACAAAAATTTTTAAGGTTATAAGAATTAATTTATATATTTTAGTAAACTTTATATTTTAGTAAACTTTAACGTTTATAGAAATTTATTACAAAATCTTTTTGTTGATATAATTCGTATAATATAATTGTTTAATAATAAAATATAGAATTTCAATAGTGCGACAAAACAATTAATACAATTGTGTTTTATAAATTAATTATTATACTATATATTTAAATCTTACAGAATATTGAATATTGTAAAGCAATCTGACGCCAATAAAATGCAAAATTCGGAACTGTTAATGAAAAATAAACCTCTTATAATTAATAATTCGAATTAAAGACTATCGAAGTAAGAACTTTGTATCGCAAACTGTTACAAAGTTAGCTACCTAAACGATATATCCTTACATTTACTCCGGTAAGAAAGTATTTAAAAATTATATGACAAAACCTAGTAAAAAATTTGTATTCTGCAGTTATACAAATATATTTACAAAAAGAGATGTAATAGTACTAATCTTTTAAAATATTGATAACTAATTGTGCAATTTATTTCAAAATAGTATTTCGATAAAACTGTAATAATGTAGCGAATCATTTTAGCGGCAGATTTCCCAAATTAAATTTGAAAATTATTGTTCAATAATTGAGAAAGATATTTTAGCTGATAATGTTTAAAACATTTAGAAATATAACTGCGCATATAAAGAAATTAAATCATATCATATATACTGTGCACAATTATACCTAAATTCTGATGTAGAAATATTAAAACATGAAATATTATTTATTCATGAAAATTTTAAAAGAAGAATCAGTGTGATGATTGTGGTGCGAGGAGCTGCGTGGCACCTTTCTGTACTAAAAATCCAGGTTCAAATCCATTCAAAGTAATATAACTCTGAAATCGATTTTAATCGATTCGAAAGCAATCGCCGCCTCTCGGAAGGCAACGGCAAACCATCGAGAGTATCTTTGTCAAGAGAACCTTTTCTTAAAAAATTAGCCGTTTGGAAGCCGGTGTTTTAAACTGTAGATCCTATATATCTACGGATATATGCAAAAGAGGTCACCTACATCCGAGACGGACACGATATATAATAATTAATAATTAAAATTAATAATTAAAATACAAATATTATGTCTAAAAAGGCTACAAATATTGCTGCATTATATTATGACAAATATTAAAGATTGTACATGATTTTATGTTTGTAAGTATTGCAATAATTATAACACGTTTATATTTCAAATTAGATTAGTCTAATTTTTTACAAATATGTTTTAAAAATTTTATTTCTGACAAAACTGTTGCGTTATGGCGAAACATCTTAAAGCAATTATTACGAAGTTTCTTATCATATCAGGATGCCATTATTGTTCAAGGTTTTTACAATATTCCTATTCCAAGGTAGCAGGTAATGCAAGGAATTATATTTCCGATATGCTTTATCGGAAATGTAATTGCTTGAATTATCTGCACAAGTTACATGAAGAACATATAAATACCCTTCCAAAGTCGAAGAATTCAGTTGCGATTACATCGTACGACTTGCATGATCAATTTTGCTCCCCAAGAAAAACGGTAAGTTCTAACATGTATCTAATTTTTTAAGATACAGTTGAACCTCGGTAACTGGAACCTGTATAACTCGAAAACCTCTACAAGACGAGAATTTTGTTCATTGCCTTTCGCTCCGCTGCGGAAAACCTTTATAAATCGAAATAAAAATCTACCTTAACTCAAATTATTTATCTGATATTTAGAAGTATTATTTTAGCGCTGCAACTTGAATTTAAGTAGCTAGATCTCTACAAGTCGAAGTTTACTTCTATAAGTCAAACTTCTATTGTTTTCTATAATTTGAAGTTGTATCTATGTGTTACCATGAGTAAAAGCCTATTTATATAATTACTTTTATTATATGTATGAAATAAATAATTCAGTCAAATATTGAAATTTTTTCCTTTAAAAACCATATTATAATCAGAAAATTTTAAACTCTCATACAAAGTCTCCATAAGTCAAATTTTTAAAGGTTATAACCCTTTTTTACTCAAATTTCGATAAGTCAAAAACTCTAAAACTCGAAGATTTTAGCTCTTCCTTTGAGATTCGAGTTATCGAGGTTTGACTGTAAAAGCTGAAAAACCAAAAAATGTTTCTTGTTTAATTAGTTTTATCATTTAAAAGATAAATTCACGTGAATTAAAATCGCAATTTCTGTACAAGTATTATTATCATATTGCATGCGCATATCAAATAATCGATATAAACAATAAATATATATATTATATAAAAAAAATAAATAAATAAGTTACATAAAAATAATAATTACAGAAAATATTGACAAGATGAAGTTCGGTATTTTCACTATTGTGGTTATGATTGTTATGGCTATGATTGCTACGGCTATGGCTTCTGAACGAAACTGTAAACCTTCCGGTCAGCCTGTAAGTATTTATGTATATTTTATAAAAGATAATCCGCATTATAAAGGCATACAAAGGAAATGATATCAGAATTAAAAAATTTTTAGTTTATGTTTTGTTCTGTGCATAATCTATATAAACTTATTAAGACCACAAAAAAATGTTTTACATCTGATCCATGCATTCGCAATATTAATTAGTATTAATTTTTAATGTCGAATAATATATCTCTAAATATTAAATTTTTAATAATTTATTTTAGTGTAGATATGTCTATGACTGTTGTCATGGTCAATGTGTTTCTAACAAATGTTCGTGAAAAGAATTTGACATCGCCTGGACTAAATAAGAGACCTCTTGATTCTGGACCACATTTTTCAAATATGTTAAAATAATGATTCAAGAATGATAATATTGCTCAACACTTCTTTGTATTTGACCATGGCACTATTTTTCGTTTATATTTATAAAAACAAAGAGAGAATTTCTGTTATAACTAACTTTAAATAAAAACGTACATTCAAAATCTCTGACTTGTTATTAATATCACAGTGGACACAAACTTTGCGGATAAAGCACTGCAAGAAAATTCTATTAATACTACGAGAAGAAAGATGGAATATCAAAAAGTTTATCGAGATTAGTTCGATTTTTCGATTTATGAATCTTCAAAGTTTGAGTATAAAATAAATAAAAAATTTACTTACTTTTCAAATAATAAATAAAAGAAACGGCGAATACGAATCGGCGTGGTAAATAATGCGCAATAATAATTTAACACAAATTAATTACAATAAAATGATGTAATTAGTAAAATCGTATGTTTCACCCTTTTTTTTAATCATCTTCAGCGAAATGATTATAATATGTAAGAAAGGATGTATTCTACTGCAGACCGTGAGATGGAAAACTCTCTGACTGTGGAGACGACTTATTTTTGTTCACATTATCCACCTTTTTAAGAACTATTAGCTTCATTACATCGCTAAATCGCTGAAACAAAGAAATGTTCAAATTGATAAAGCAATCAAAGTCCGAGAGAAAACAAATAATTTTTCGTTTTTTATTCAATTCAATTCTAAATGAAACATTATTTCAACTCAAAAATAAAAATTATGTAAAATATATTGTTGTGAGTCGTTTTCATTGACTTGTCATCTGAATTACTGCTAACGTTGCAATAAGAGCTGTCAATGCTTGCTGCTATCAACATTGATTCATCAATTGCTGTATCTTCGACTTCACTATCTCTTTACACATATTTTATGAGACCACCAGCAAATATCACTTAGCAACACATCCAATTTTTTTTTCTTCATAACGAGCTTCCATTGGCATGGCTACTTGATAAAAGCGTTCGCCATGTTCATCCAATTCTGATGCAAGTTGCTTATCAAAGTAATCAATATGGTGATACAGAAAGTGTATTTTTAATAAAAAATTTTCTAAGGAATCATCAATCAGCAAGTCATCAAGTTTTCATAATTTATTTATTAAATGCATTCCAGAGAATAGGTGATGTTCATTTGAATCTAAAAATACACTTTCTGCATCACCATCTTGATTACTTCGTCGTCTTGTCTCAAGGCAGGCAGTTTTCCGCTTCACGGTCTGCAGTAGAATACATACATCTATATATATATTGTAATCATCTCGCTGAAGATGATTCAAAGAAAAAGACAAAATCAAGCTAATAATTTTCAAAAAACTATTCGATGATGTGAGTAAAAATATAATTCAATTTTTTATTCATTTTATACTCAAACTTGAAGTTTCATAAATCGAAAAATCGAACTAACCTCGGCAAACCTTTTAACATTCTCATCTAGTACTAAGAGAATTTTCTTACACAATGCTTTGTCCGCAACAAATATTTCAAAATTATTTTACAGAAAAATCATATGTATGTATATAATATGTAAAATACATTTTTAAATATATTTATTATATAATATTTAATAATGTAAGACTTCTTTAATACTAATACATTTAAATATGTATTGCTGTTATATGTATGTGTGATTATTTGTTTGTATATTAGTACAATTGAGTATGACATAATAGTTATTAATAAATTCGTATAGTGAAGATCGCCTAT